GCCGGGGGGTGCGGGGAGAGGATGGGCGTCCCCACCCCGAAGCAGTTCTGCCTGGTCCTGGAGAGGCCGCTCATCAGCTACGCCCTGCAGGCCCTGGAGAGGTAACGCGGTCCCGGGCCAGGTGGGGCGTTCCCAGGGGCGCAGGCCGGCTCCCCGGCCCCCGCCCGGGCGGCTCGCGCAGGCGCCGACGGCCGCTCCGACTCCTCCCGCGCACCCCATCACCGCCTTTCAGACATGGGCGCTTAGGACTCTTTCGCACAGGCGGCCGGAAACGAGCTGCCTCCCTGAGCAAGCTCTTTACGCGCCGCAGGCCGCAATGTCGTGGGGACAGCCTCTAGGTGGCCTGGGTTAATGAGTACAGCTGTGGGGCCTGCACGGAAAGGCAGCCACATAGTCAGCTGTTCAAACCCAGCAGCCGCTCTGTGGGAGAAACCTGAGTCTGTCTCCCTCCCTAAAGATTTGCAGTCTCGGAAATCCACAGGGACTGATCTGCTTTGTTCTGCCCTACCGGGTGGCTATGAGTCAGCCAAGACTCGATGGCAGTTAGTTTGGTTTGGGTTTGGGTTTAGGACACATTTAGTACCGAGAGCGGCCCTTGAGGAGCCCTGGTAGCAAAGGGCTAAAGAGCTCAGGTGCTAACTGAAAGATGGGTGCTGGGATCCCACTCGCGTTCCCCAGGAGAAAGATGGGGTGGTCTGCTTCTACAAAGATTTACAGGCGCTGGAAACCCCGAGGGTAGTTCAACTTTGTCCTATCGGGTTGCTGTGAATCGCAATCAGTCTAAAGCAGTGGGTAGGATGGGTGGTCCCCCGAGGCCTAAGGTCCCCCTGAGGATTGCTGTTCCAGGGGTACGAGTCTGTCTCCTCCTCACCTTCTACGCATGGGTTATGAGCTCTGCTCCAAAGAAATATAGGGTCGGAGGCTTTTGCTAGTCCATTAACATCACCCTTTCATATCCACACTTACTGAGCACCTCATTTGAGGCTGTCAGCAAAATTTCAAGGCACTGGAAATGAATCACAGATACCCAGTGGTGCTCTAGGACAAGCACGGTGGCTGGCAGGAGAAAAGATGGCGCTGTTTGCTCCTATAAAGATGTACAGTCCGGGAAATGCTCTGTGGGGTCCCTATGAGTCAGAATGGATTTGATGGTAGTGGGTAGGGATCAGCCACGTCGATGGAAAATTGAAAACGCACCTGCAGTTGTCCAGTATGGCTAGTGAGATATCCAGGGGAGTAAGTCTAACTATGAAGTAACATTACAGTCATACATGCTGGCTCCTAGAGACAATTATCTACCCTAACCCTTTAAATGTAAAATTACAACTTGGCATGAGTCACATTTGACGCTATAGCAATGGGTTTGTCTTTTTGTGGGGAGATGAAGCAAAAATCAAAGTTTAATTGAAATCTTTGCAAGGTGATGAAGGTCTGAAACTGAGGTCTATGCGCATTGTATCTTGAAAGAAAAGGGTCCGGTTAGCTAGTTGGAGAAGTAAAAGAGTAAATGGCGACTGAGAGATCAGGCATGAGGCTCTGGAAGTAAAAGCAAGGCAATGTGCTTTTCTGTTTTCTTATTAGTACTGGCTGATGTGATAAAAGGTCTCTGGCTGGCACAGAGGGCTTGCCTCAGACCACTATCCTCAGGTGAAACTCACCCAGAAAAATCTGGGGATCTACTTTAGTAAAGATTACAGCCAAGAAAATCTTACGGGGCATTTAACATTCTAACTCACGGGGTCTCAAGAGTCTGAATGAGCTGAAAGGCCATGGGTTTGTTTTCTGTTGCACTGTGCTTGTGGGCGAGACTAGGATTGCCAGCGTCTATGTTGCTAAACTGTTCAAACTTTATCTTGAATCGGTGGTAGGATTTTAAAGCAGCTGAAAGTATGTACAGTTTGCATTTCAAGGTAGATGGCATCCTTTAGCATTCACAGAAGGCTTTAATGAAGATGAACTTGGTGAAGTTCTGGTAGCATCATGCTAGCTAGAAAAGAAACCCTAGCTACCTGAGAGGCCAAGTTGCTTCTCATATGGTTATTTTACTTTCTGAATATTGGCCTTTGGAAAGTGGAGGTGTGAAATGCCATAATCACCCCTAATTCTTGTAATCAGACCAGAGGTTACATCTGGGACTCGTATAAACATCGAAACACTTTTGGTGTTCCTTCTTTCCTCTCTGCTTCCTCAGTTTCTCTGGGTAGTGAGAGCATTGAAACGATTGTGCGAGTCATGCACCTGCACCATGCCAATGTTGTAGCTATTGTGACAATGCTGCTCAAACAAGCAGGGACACAGTGGGTCTTGACCTGCAAGATTTCTTTTACTCACTTGAATGGAAGGATGCTCTCCTTCTTACTGAAAAATCTTTTATATTAATTTGCATTTTTGCATCTCCTTAACTTCTGTGCAAGTCTGAGCTCGACGGACACCTAGTGGGGGGATAAATGAAAGAAAAGGAAATGAAAAAAAGCCCAAATATTTAACAAGCAAAAGCATATTGTGCAAAGAATATGGAAAGTAAGGCAAAAGCATGCTTCCCCCCCCCCCCATTTTTATTTCCTAACACCAACCAAAATGCTATCTAGTGGCAAGAGTAATTAATCAAAAGCTCCACTCTGGAAATATACCATAATGCATTTTTGCCACTATTAAGATACCTGAAAACTATATGCTGGCTCTATCTTAAGAAATCTTTGGAAACTGTAACAAATGTGTCTGCAGAGGCTTCCTGGCTATTAATGCAATGAAATATTTTTCACTTTGTTTTGTTAAAAAATAGACTCTATAGATTGCTGGTACTTTTCCTGGAATATGGTGCCAAAGGTCTAAGAAATTTTATCTGCAAAGGTGAATTATCCAAATTCAAAAAAGGAAATAGAAACATAAAATAATTTGGAAAAGTCTTATATTTGTTCTCTTTGGAGAAATTATACATGCTTTAAAATTATGCATGTATTAAAGAAAAAAGGAAGCACAGGCTTCAATGGTCTAGGTAAGAAAATAAAATATATAATTGGATGCTACCACTATCAGTCATCTCTACATTGTACTACAGGGTGTCAGGTCTTCCCTGCCTTTAGGATCTGTGTAATTTAAGAATTTACTGCAGACAAAATTCATTTTATTTGCCCTTCATAAGATAGGGATTTTTCCTTGCTTAAGGAAATATCAAGTATTGTACTTGCTTTTGCCATCTCAGTAATAGAGGTTCAAGAACTTGGTGTGGGTAAGTTTTGATTCTTAGTTATTATTGACCTAAGATTATAAAAATGGCATGAGAAGGCATGTGACCTCCTCTGACTATAAAAGGGGAACTCGGAAGAGGTCAGACATGCCGCCATCCCAATTGTGATACCAGCTGGCTCTCCCAATGCATTCTCTTTCCGGTGGGTTGGTTAATTCATTACAAACCCAGACAGAACTCACAGACCACTCTCACAATTAAGAGATTTCTTAGGGAAGTTAGCAGGTTACAATTTAGGATGAGAAATGCTCAGGATATAGTTTTTCCAGCCAAGGAAGTCTCTTCTCTACCATGTGTGTAGATGTACTTCTTACTAGTCCTTGGACTCTCAACTACAAAACTTCTTATTTAGCTTCTGCTGCCTATGGGGAATGTTATAAAGCTCTTTTAGTGCTGCCAATAAATGCCCCCAAAGGCACCTCACTCTGTGGTAAAGCTCAACTCAAAGTACTTGGCTCTCACTCCCAATTCAGTGCCTGGAGGCACCCTACTCCACAAGTGAGCCAAAGGCATCATCAGCTTTACTCTATCTGCCCATCTGTTTGGTGCTCTGGTTCTCAGTTCTGTTGCTGCCACTCCTCTGGTATCATCACTTTCTGCACCTGTATTGAGAAAGTTCAATACACAGGGATCTTCGAGTCCAAAGGATATGCTCTGCTCCTGATCCTTTATTTTTGGCAGTAGTGAGATCTCCCCTTCAGCTGCTGGGAGAGCTCATCTTATACACATTAGGATGTAGAATTCCAAGCTTTTACATATAATTAGGTCTATTAACAACCACTCATAACTGAATCACATACTCCTGTCAATGTTATAACCATTTTCTTTCCCTCAGACCCATCAGGAAAAAAAATTATTTGGTGGAAGTTACAAAACAATATTAACGAAATCACTTCACCCCAAAGATACTTGTTGAAAAATAATCTGTGCTGATTTTTATTACCCATTAGAGTATCTTTTTACATTCGTAAGCAGTTCTAAGGAGACCTGGTGGTGTAGTGGTTACTCACTGGGTTGCTTACCACAAGGTCAGCAATTCAAAAGCACACTCTGCTCTGAGGGAGCAAGGTGAGGCTTTCTACTCCTGTGAAGCCTTACAGTCCTGGCAACACACAGGGTGCTGTATCCTGTCCTCTACGGAATGGACTGTATCAGTGAGTGAAGCAATTCTATGCTGTCATAAAGTGAGATTGCAACTAAGGCTATATTTTATTGTTCTTTTCTTGGTAATGGACAAAACAGTATCTATTCACCATTAGACAATTATAAAGAACAGGCCAAAAGACCATCTCTAGCTTTGCCTCTTTCCTTTCTATTAGTCAATTTGTTTTGTTTTCGGTGAAAGTTGGCATAGCAGATTAGATCCGCATTCAGTTTCTCCGCACGTTTACATTTTTCACAGTGCACGAGCATTCTCATTTCTGTTTCTAGTAATCTAGTTTACTTGCCCTTCCCCCTTTAAATCTTTCTTGTAAAGTAATTGTTCACTGCTTAGCTTCATACATAAGACTTTTAAAGGAGTACAGTAGTCCTAGGTGATGTTTATTTTGTGAGCCGAATCTGGCTTTGAGCTAAAAGATGACCTTAGGGAATACAGTTTCGATCAAGGTTTAAAGAGCACACCAACTCAGTCATCTCAAGAAGTGCCCTAATTGCAACGGGTCCAGCACATCTAAATTTGAAAGATTTTGATGTTCTTTTTCGCATTTCGCTTCCTTTTTATTAGGATCCATCCTTTGTGGTCTTGCCAAAAGAGTTGGTAGTAGTAGCTAGGTACCATCAGTTCCTTCTGCCTTTGGAGTAGAGGAGTTCATGTAGACAGTTATTCCTGCAGTCTCGTTTTAAAAAATCATT